GAATGCTGTAGGAATGATACAGGTTTGGAAGCAAATTTTAATTGGAAATTTAAGTCTCCTCCAGTGACAAACTTTCAGAATCAGTTTAATTTTAATTTCATTTTTGGAAGTGAAGTTAGAACTTTTTCCTTCAAAATAAATGCAGGGGTTTTTTTAAACAAATACATTTTGAAAAATAATTTTTAATTATTTTTGACATGTTCTACCTGTGCTGCATGCGAGCAGCTCTCACTCTTCCCAACAAAGGCCCAGGCCACCCTGCTGTTTCTCTTTGTCCTTCAAATATGGTTTTTATGCTCAGATCCTTTCTTCTGAGCTGCTGCCATCAGACAGTGACTGAATTTTGCTGCCGCATCTTGTTCCCAGTCCACATCACAATATTGCTTCGAAATCCAGAGCCCTTGGTGCTCAGAACGGGGCAGATGTGGGGCCATGGGAGCGAAGAGGGGCAGAGCTGGGCATGGGGGCGAGTGGCAGGAGCGACCAGGGCTGATGTTCATTCTGACCCCGGTAAGAAAGACATGCAGGTTTTGGAGTATTGATTACAATCCCATTTATTGGCAGTAACGCTAGAAGGAAAAAGAGGATAGTGTGATCTTACATCCCTCCCGTGGTGGGGAGCCCCACCTCCGGTCAGAGCAGGGACACCGTGCGGATCGTGTCCCTGGAGAGGTCGGCCGGCACTGTGGCCCTTAGAGCTCTTAGGGGATTTTCTTCCAAGAAAATAATTCTGTTGCATCATTTCTGCTGTCAAACAAAAGGATGGTCACTTGAGAACTTGCTGCTTCACTTGAAGGTAGAATAGATATTGATGATTGTGATCACCAGCGCCGAGTGGGTGCTGCCTCAGGCTCCTTCGTTAGGCTCAGACAGCCAAGGGGCACAGCACAGGTTAGCTGTTCGTGGATCACCCACTCCTCGATCTGTGACGATCTTCTGACCAGGATCACGGCATTAACCCCTTCTCCCTCCAGGTTTGGGATGCGATCGAGGGGACCCTCCGCAGCAGTAACGATGAAGGTCAATCTGGCATCACGGCGCTTGTCTTCCTCAACAACAGGTAACTGGGGTTGTGCTCGGTGAGCTCCTGTGCGGGGAGGAGAATGTGTTGGGGGAGCCGGGACCCCAGCCCTGACCCTCCCGCCATGGAGGTCAAACTGCTCCGGATGGCAGAGGCTCGGCTGGGCCGTCCCTTCCCAGACGCCACTTCTCAAACTGGGAATGGTGGAGCAAGCCTTCCTGGGACCACTTCTGTTCCAGCAGCCGTTTCTTCATGCAGATATCCATCTTTCTAGTAGCCAGACATCCAGAATAATTCAGGGCTGGGAGATGGGGCCTTTGGGTCCCTGGTTTCTCTGTGCTGTTATTTGAGGTGCTGCCATTTGCCAGTTTATTCCATGGTCTGAGCTGCTTATAATTTCCCAGCCCTCCTCACAGCCAGGAGTGCCTCCTCGCAGGGGGAGCCTGCGTGGCTTGTGCTCGGCCTCGGCAGGACGCTGATCTCAGGGCTCCTCTCCTCACGTGTCTGTGTTTCTCCCTCAGGATCGTCGCTGCCCGGTTGAACGGCTCATTAGATTTCTTTTCGCTAGAGACACACACATCCTTGAACCACCTGCAGTTCCGAGGTAAGCAAGCATCCGAGCGTGCTGTATGCTGCCCTGAGCTCCTCCAAGCATCTTCCTCCTCCCTTGCCTTCTTATGGCTGACTCTTCCTCACATCCACTTCATGAGCTGTCGTAATAACGCTCCCTGTGTCGCAGGGAGCCAAACCAGCTGCTGTGGGGAGGTGAGGGATACTTTGGGACATCCCTGTGCAGGGAAAGCGTCTCCAGTGCTGTTTTTCTCCGGTGTGTAGGTCTGGAGGCTGCAGCATGCGTGCCAGGGTCAGCTCTGCCCCGTACCTCTTTCCTCTCCCAGTTCTCGCTTATTTTCTCCTTCAGCAAGCTCTATTCTTACACGTTTGCACACCACGTAGCCCCACACGGGCATGATGGAGCCTTGGCACAACCACAACACACACAAAACCAGACGGTGGTGGTAACTGGTTTGCAGTGCCGTGGCCCCGTTGGTTCTGGAGTGGCAGGAGGGAAGAGAAGCTCTGGCCTTGCTCCAGGAGAATGGTCGCATTCCTGGAGGGATGCAAGCGGTCGATCTGGAAGCGGAGCAGGCTCCGGAGGCAAGGACCGGCTGCAGAAATGATGTGCAGAGAGTCTTGCTCCCAGCTGTCTGTTTGGCCTCTCCGACCGGGCTGATCATCGCAGCGCTCTGGGGCTTCAGGGGCCTCAGTCTTGCAGAACGCTTCCTGCGTAGGGTCCGCTGATCTGCTGCCCAGGACCCTGCTGGAGACCCTCGCTCCAGTTCTCATGAGCCCTGAGCAGCTGTAGCTTCTGCTGGGGTCAGCCAGAGTGCTGAGTGTTCGGCTCTTTGGAGGACGAGGTTCAAATCCCGTAAATATCCCACCATTTCTGGGTGACGTTGGTCTTGGAGGGTACGGCCATGTCTGCTGCAGCCAGGACTTACCCGCGTGTCTCTCACAGGAGCCCCGAGCCGGAGCAGCATCCCGTCCTCCCCTGTTTTCAGCAGCAGCGACGTTGTCCTGTGCCAGCTCACCCACACCGTCTCCTGCGCGCACCAGAAGCCCATCACGGCGCTGAAGGCTGCAGCCGGGCGGCTCGGCACCGGCAGGC